TTTAGTCCCCCCGGGGTAAAAAAAATTTTTTTTTGGGTTGGGCCCTTTCCAAAAAGGGAAAAAAACCCGTTCTTTTCCCTTTTCCCCCAAACAAAATTTTGGGGCCCCTTTTTGGGGTTTCCCCCCAAAAAATAACCCAACCCCCTTTTTTGTTTTTTTAGCCCGGGGGATGGCAAAAAAAAACCCCTTTTTGGCCGGTGGTAAAATAAACCGATAATAAAGGGGTGTTCCCCCCAAAGGAGATAAAACGCTCACAAACCCAAATTTTGGAAATAACGATGTTGTGAAACCTTTTCGGGTTTCGGGAGCCAGGCCCAACTTTAAAACAGGTTTCCAAGTTTGGGAAGGTTATACCGGGTACTTTTTCCCCAAAATTTAAACGTTCCTTCGTTCTCGATTTACCCCCCACCGGAGCCCTCGCGACAAAATAGGATACCATTATTCAGATGATTATTCACCCCTTTTAAAAGACCTTTGGGTCCCCTGGTTCTCGGGGGTGGCAAATGCAGTTTAAAAGGGTCGGCCGTTCCTCCCAGGGTTCCCCCCGGGCCCCTTTGGGTTCCCGCCAGGCAATTTACCATCAAATTCGTACAACGGGGTTATTGGCCTCCCCCAAGGCGTCTGGGACCCTTTAGTGGCTCCCCATGGAAGGAAAAGTTTCCGGTTCCCCGGGGCATTTTCTCCCCACCCCGCCGGCAGCTTTGGGTTTCCCGCCCGAGGAGAGTTAACCAACTTTCAAAGAAAGGGGGATTTCCAGCCTTTTAAGGGCCCGGCCTCCCGGCCTTTGGGTTTAACCTAAGGGCAGAAACATTAAACAGTCCCGGGTATTTTTCCCCCGGAAGGGCCGGGTTCCTCGCCAAAAAAAAATTACCGGGGTCGGCGGGCAAATTTACCCCCCGGGCTTTGGCCACCTTAACCCTAACCAGGGGGAAAGCTTTGCCCCCAAAAGGGTTTCGGGCCCCCCCCGGGCTCCGCTCGGCAAGTCCTTTCCCCCCGGGGAGGAATTAACCTTCCTTAAAGTGGGCCAAGTTTCCCCCCGGAACCGGTTAGGGCCCCTTCTTCCCTCAAAGGGCCCGGTTAAATCCAATTGACCCCCAAAGGTGGCCTCCGCCCTAAGGATTCCCCCCCGGGTTCGGCCGCGCGTAAATACCCAATTGAGCCTTCAAGGGTGTTCCAGCCCCGGTTAATGCCAGGGGGAAAAAGCCCCTTTAGCCTTAAAAGGGGGGCCATTTACCCCCGGGCCTCCGGAATGGTTCCCGTGGGGGGGTCAATTTTTAAATTTGAACCTGAGGTTTGCACCCAAAGGGTACCCCGGGCCTTCCCGGCCCTTTGGGGGTCCCTTTAAGGTTCCCAAAAACCAAAATTTCCCCCACGGGGTTGCCCCCGGCCTCCTCGGGTTCCCCGGGCCGTCGCAAAAGTAGCCGCAAATTTTTACCCCAAGTGGCCCCCAGCTTGGCCCCAGTTTTCCTCATAAACATTGGCCGGGCCAAATACCCGGTTTCCCCGGGGCCCGCTTCCTCCCCTGGCCTTAAACAAACGGGTCCCCTTTGTGGAAAAGGGCCGTCGGGGTGATTACCCCCTTAAGGGCACGGTTTTAACGGCTATCTAATCGGGGTTATGCCGTAAAACGCCCGGGGAAATCTCCCGGGGCCCGGCCTTCCCCGGGTTCCCCCCGAAAGGGCCAACCTGCACCGGTAAGAGTGGCAGTTTAACCCCCGGGGCGGGGCCAAGGCCTTGGGCCAGCCTTGGGGGGACCGGGGGGAAACGGCCGTTTTTCCCCGAACGTGGGCTACGTCCCCCGGGTTTACTCCCTTAGGGAAGATTCAACCCTGCCCGTAAAAGGATACCGACCCCCCAGAGGGGCTCCGGGCCTTTAAGGGTTTGCGAAGCTCCAACCTTTTAATGAACCAAAAGGGGCCCTTACCCAGGGGGGCCCGCCCGGGGACCCCTGGCCCCGCCGGAAATTCCCCGGGCCAAAGAACGAGGAAATCCAGTAACCCCAATTCATGCACAAGGCCTTTTTACGGTTTTAGGATTCCCGGCACCTTAACCGGGGGCATTTCCCCCCCCGGAGGTTCGGCGTACTTTTTGGTTCCCTTCCGAGCCTTCCGACTCCGGTGGAAAAATACAAAATACCCCCACGAGGGGTTTGGCACCCTTTAGGGGAACACCCTTTTCCGGGTTACCAAAGTGGGCACTTTTACCCCCTAAGGGGTTCCCCGGATCCCCCGGGGTCCCTCCCTGGCCCGGGTTAGGCCAGAAAAGCCCCCCAAAGGTCGGGGGCCGGCTTTAACCCCTTCCCGATTGGGTGGGGAAAGCCTTTGACCGTTAAAGGCAGGGGTTTTACTGGAAGCCTCCCGGGGTTCCTGGGCCCCCGGGGAAGAGGGCAAGGCCGTTCAGGGTTTTGGGCCGTACAAAGTCCCCCCCCAGGCTCGATTTAAGTCCCCCAAGAAAAAACCGGCCTAAAGGATTGCCTGCCGGCCAATTTTGGAACGGTACCTTTGGTCCCCCCCGGGAATTAACCCGGGAACCGTCGGTCCGGGGTACAAAGGCCCCTTAAGTCCACGGTTTGGGCTTCCAACCGTCCCTTTTTAACCGGGGGGGTTTTTTTCCCACGGTTCCCGGGACCCTTGGGGGCCCCCGTTAGGCCCCCCAAACCTGGCCCCCGTGGGGCCAAGCCCGGAAATTCAACCTCACCTTAAAATTTCCAGAGGGTTCCACCCCAAAAGGCCTTAGGCCAATCCCCGAGTCATTGGGGCCAAAACCTTTCGTTTCCCCCTTAGGGCCTCCTCCTCCCCCAGTTCCCGCCCTCCCCCCGTGGGAAAGGATTAACCCCCCGAGGCATTACCCCCTGGCCCGGAGGCATTAACCGGCATTGGGGAACCTTAAATCGCCAACCCCCCAAAATTTCCCCTGATCCCCGGGGTTCCCCCGGGGAAAAACTCTTCCCCGGGTGGGTTCCCCCCCGGGGGCAGGGTAACGTGCTTAACGAAGGGAGTATCGCCAAGCAAAGTAAAACCCGGCTTGGGGCTTCCCCCCAAAGGGGGTTTCCCCAAAATTTAACTTCCCGGTTTTTCGGCCAACCCTTTTCCCGAGACGGGGTTTGGGTTTCCTCCAAGCCGCAAGCGACCGGCTTCGGGAAGCTAAAATTTTAAAACCCGAATGGTGGGGCCCTTAACCCGAGCCTAGGGGCCCGGGGCTCCCGGGAATGGGTTCGCCAACTTCAAAAATTTCCGTGGGAATTTAACCGCCCGGGAAAGCGGACCTTGGGGTTTTCCCCCCCCAAGGTCGGTTACCGAACGGAAAAGGGGGCCAGGCCGTTAATCCGAGAACCGCTGGGGATCCAGTTTCCCCCGAAAAGAGCCCCCCTGACCCTCGATTTCCCCCTCCATTTTCCCCACGGCTGCTGACAGGTTTAGAAGAGGGGGCGGCAGCCGCCGGAGCGGTTGGAAAAACCCTTCCCGGGAACCCTGGGCCAACTTTCGGCCCGCCCTGAAGGGAAAACCCCTTCCCGGGTTTTCCCCGGGGGTTACTCTCCCCCGAGGGCCCTTTCCAAGCCTAAAGGTTCCCTCATGGTCGGAAAAGCCTTTTAAAGGGGGCCCGCTTCCCCCAATCCCCTTGGTCCCCTTTAAAGGTTCGGGCCTTGGAAATTTAAGATCGTTCGTAAAGAACGGGCTTTCCCTCCCCGAGGGGTTCCCGGCTCCTTTGGGGGATCGAACAAGTCCCTCAAAAAGGGGCACTGAAATATGCCCCCCGGGTGATTCCCCAAGCCTCCCCGGGGTTTATTTCCTGGCGGTTACCAATCCCGGAACGCCCGGGGTTCGGTTCCCCCAAGGGGACCCCCCGGGAAGCTTTAAAGGGTTTTCCCCGCCGTGGAAGTTTTGGTAAACGGGCGGTGGCAATACTAAGGCCCGGGCTTCTGGTTTTCCCTTTTGGGCATACCCGGCCTGGTGAAAAAACCATACGTAGCGGTCCCCGTTAAAAGCCTAAACCCCCCTTGGGCCCTTCGGGCCCCAAAACCAAAGGTCAGCCGTGACCCCTTCCCGGCCCGGGTTACCCCCGGTTTCCCGGGAACGTAACTTTCAGCCGAAGCCCAAATATGGCCCCCCCGGGTGGGCCCCCCCAGGGGTTCCCCGTCGGGTCAAAAATTAACCGAAAAGGATAAACAGGTTCACCCCGGCCCGTTTGCCTTTAAGGTTCCCATGGCAGGCCCCATGCTTTGAGCCGTAGCCCCTCCAGTCACCCCCGGCTTTGGTTTCCTCCCCGGGAAGAAGCCCGACCCCGTTCAGGGGGCCGACTACAGCCCCCCCCACGGGTTCCGGGACCCCTTTTTAAACGGGGTTCCTGGGCATTTCCCCGTGGCCCAGAACCCGGGGAAAATCCCCCAGTCGCTCAGAAAGTGAACGACTGACAATATTCAGTCACCCCCCACGAGGGTGCCATGTGGCACAAGGCCTTTTTAACGTGGGAATTCCCGAGCCATTAGGCTCGGCCAAAAAATAGCCCATTTGAACCCGTATGAACGGGTCCATGGCCGAGTTTAAGGCCTCCTGAAGGAGACTCCGCCCTTCGCCGTAGCCTCCTTCGGGTTCCTCCGCCCGTAGGAAGAGAGTTGAACCGAACAGTCAGTTCAGAGGTGAACGACTGACAATATTCAGTCACCCCCACGAGAGGGTGTCATGTGGCACAAGGCCTTTTTAACGTGGGAATTCCCGAGCCATTAGGCTCGGCCAAAAATAGCCCATTTGAACCCGTATGAACGGGTCCAGGGCGAGTTTAACCTCCCCGAAGGAGACTCCGCCCTTCGGCGTAGCCTCCTTCGGGTTCCTCTCGCCCGTAGGAAGAGAGTTGAACCGAAACAGTCAGTTCAGAGGTGAACGACTGACAATATTCAGTCACCCCCACGAGGGTGTCATGTGGCACAAGGTGTTTTTAACGTGGGCATTCCCGGGCCATTAGGCTCGGCCAAAAAGCCCATTTGAACCCGTATAAACAGGTTCTGGGCCGAGTTTACCTCCCGAAGGAGACTCCGCCCTTCGGCGTAGCCTCCTTCGGGTTCCTCCCGCCCGTAGGAAGAGAGTTTAACCGAACAGTCGCTCACAAAGTGAACGACTGACAATATTCAGTGACCCCCCTACGAGGGTGTCATGTGGCACAAGGCCTTTTTAACGTGGGCATTCCCGAGCCATTAGGCTCGGCCAAAAAATAGCCCATTTGAACCCGTATAAACGGGTTCTGGGCCGAGCTAACCTCCCCGAAGGAGACTCCGCCCTTCGGCGTAGCCTCCTTCGGGTTCCTCCCGCCCGTAGGAAGAGAGTTGAACCGAACAGTCGCTCAGAAAATGAACGACTGACAATATTCAGTCACCCCCCCGAGGGTGTCATGTGGCACAAGGCCTTTTAACGTGGGCATTTCCGAGCCATTAGGCTCGGCCAAAAATAGCCCATTTGAACCCGTATGAACGGGTTCAGGGCCGAGTTTACCTCCCCGAAGGAGACTCCGCCCTTCGGCGTAGCCTCCTTCGGGTTCCTCCTGCCCGTAGGAAGAGAGTTGAACCGAACAGTCAGTTCAGAGGTGAACGACTGACAATATTCAGTCACCCCCCACGAGGGTGTCATGTGGCACAAGGCCTTTTTAACGTGGGAATTCCCGGCCATTAGGGCTCGGCCAAAAATAGCCCATTTGAACCCGTATGAACGGGTTCAGGGCCGGTTTAACCTCCCGAAGGAGACTCCGCCCTTCGGCGTAGCTCCTTCGGGTTCCTCCCGCCCGTAGGAAGAGAGTTGAACCGAACAGTCAGTTCAGAGGTGAACGACTGACAATATTCAGTCACCCCCACGAGGGTGTCATGTGGCACAAGGCCTTTTTAACGTGGGAATTCCTTCGAGCCATTAGGCTCGGCCAAAAAATAGCCCATTTGAACCCGTATAAACGGGTTCAGGGCCGAGTTTTACCTCCCCGAAGGAGACTCCGCCCTTCGGCGTAGCCTCCTTCGGGTTCCTCCCGCCCGTAGGAAGAGAGTTGAACCGAACAGTCGAGTTCAGAAAGTGAACGACTGACAATATTCAGTCACCCCCCCACGAGGGTGTCATGTGGCACAAGGCCTTTTTAACGTGGGCATTCCTTTTTCCATTAGGCTCGGCCAAAAAATTAAAATTTGAACCCGTATAAACATGTTCAGGGCCGGTTTAGTCCCCCCTGAAGGAGACTCCGCCCTTCGGCGTAGCCTCCTTCGGGTTCCTCGCCCGTAGGAAGAGAGTTGAACCGTGCAGTCAGTTCAGAGGTGAACGACTGACAATATTCAGTCACCCCCCCACGAGGGTGTCATGTGGCACAAGGCCTTTTTTTAACGTGGGCAATTCCCAAGCCATTAGGGCTCGGCCAAAAATAGCCCATTTGAACCCGTATAAAAAACGGGTTCAGGGTCCGAGCATACCTCCCGAAGGAGACTCCGCCCTTCGGCGTAGCCTCCCTTCGGGTTCCTCCCGCCTGTAGGAAGAGAGTTGAACCGTGCAGTCAGTTCAGAGGTGAACGACTGACAATATTCAGTCACCCCCACGAGGGTGTCATGTGGCACAAGGCCTTTTTAACGTGGGAATTCCTGAGCCATTAGGCTCGGCCAAAAATATGCCCATTTGAACCCGCATAAACGGGTTCTGTGCCGAGTTTAAACTCCCCGAAGGAGACTCCGCCCTTCGGCGTAGCCTCCTTCGGGTTCCTCTCGCCCCGTAGGAAGAGAGTTGAACCGAACAGTCAGTTCAGAGGTGAACGACTGACAATATTCAGTCACCCCCCACGAGGGTGTCATGTGGCACAAGGCCTTTTTAACGTGGGCATTCCTGAGCCATTAGGCTCGGCCAAAAAATAGCCCATTTGAACCCGCATAAACGGGTTCTGGGCCGGTTTAACCTCCCCGAAGGAGACTTCCGCCCTTCGGCGTAGCCTCCTTCGGGTTCCTCTCCGTCCGGAGACAGAGAGTTGAACCGAAACAGTCTGTTCAAAAGAGAACGACTGACAATATTCAGTCACCCCCCCACGAGGGTGTCATGTGGCACAAGGCCTTTTTAACGTGGGCATTCCCGAGCCATTAGGCTCGGCCAAAAAATAGCCCATTTTTGAACCCGTATAAACGGGTCCTGGGCCGGTTTTACCTTCCCGAAGGAGACTCCACCCTTCGGCGTAGCCTCCTTCGGGTTCCTCCCGCCCGAAAGAAGAGAGTTTAAACCGAACCGTTCGCTTTAAAAGTGAGCGACTGACTCCTATTTAGTCACCCTGAGGCGAGGGTTTATTACGTATGGAATAGTCCATTATTTTTATTATCCCTTTCCCATAACATCCTTCCTTAAAAATTCTTTCATTTGAACCTCTAAACTAATGTTAAATCATTCTCTTTCAAGGAGACTCAGCCGCTTTGTATCCCTTAAGGTATTCCTGCGTTGGATGAAATAATTTAATAATTTTATTTGCATTGAAAAGTCTGAAATTAGTATTAATATTATTCTTTTTTTTAAAACATTTTCTCTTTTTAACTCTCTCTTCTTTGCCTTTCTCTCTCAATACAAAAAAAGACACACTTTTCTTTGAACCCATTCTTTTTAATTCTGGGTTTATATTTCCTATTCCCCCTTCAGGGAAGTTTTTATTTAAAAGCAGATTTTAACGAAGGTCCGCTCATTTTAAGAGAGCTACGAGGCGACTAGATAGATACTTCACATCACCATTTGCTGTTTCAATCTCCTAGAAGGAAGGAACCATCTTAATTCCTGGAACCAATAAAACAAAATTCAAACAGAACAACCCGTTCCGAAAATAGAGGAATATCAATTTGACTGAAGGAGAATTGCAAATCACAGGAACAATCAGCCAAAAGGCATATAAAAGAAAGATAAATGGACAGCGTGGGTCCGACCGGTTGCATCTTTCATTTCGGTCGAAGAATGCAAAATGACCGCATCTTGTTGCGCAATTTGTCGGTATATATCACGATAACTGTCATGGTGTTTGCGCACAGATGGAGATTTATTAGGAAATATGAGATCACCCACGTGTGGAGCCACATTCCCCGTTCGTGCAAGAAAAAAAAAGAATCATGTTAAAGTAATGCATTTGGAGTAAGGTTTCGTAAGATATTACGTCGTTGTTTCAGAAACGTTTTTCTTAAAAGGCATTTATAGGTGAGTTTCTTCTAGCCTCTCGAGGCATAATAAATTTATATATATATATATATATATATATATATATATATATGAAGAAAGAAAGAAAGAACAGTCAGATTTATAATCCACAGTTCTTTAGCATTTATTTTTAAAACTAGAGCTCGATAATACAGAATAGAACATAATATAATATTATTATTTAAAAAATATGAATGCATCGTGACACAGAAATTACCATGTCCCGAAATAAAAATCTAAACTTTAAATTAAACTTAAAATTAAAGACTTTGTTCCATTCTCAAAACAATGTTGAATAATCTGACAAAACTTCAATTTTAAGTTTAATTTAATGTTTAAATTTTAAAATAGAAATTTATAAAAATATTACCTATAACATGGCTGCCTATATTGTATCTCCTAGGAAAGGCAAGCCAGGTAATCTATTCATTTATAGGAGAGCACCTAATTGACCAGGTGGGTAAAAATATTTGCTGGAATGGACCTTGCACTCAACACATTTGCATGAGTTTCACATATTCACCCATATATATTCTCCATTAAATGACTCAATGACTTTCTGTGTCCCGATAAATACATATTTTTTAAATAATGCATATATATATATATATATATATATATATATATATATATATATATATATAATGTTAGGACGACGTAGCAAATTGAGCAGCCAATTGACTTTTTTATTTTTTAATTTAAGGAACTGTAAGACTTTTGTTTACAATATCAAGGTGAAAACTGTTGCTGAATTAAAATAAGTTATTTCAATAAATTTTTTGAAATTAATGCAGAAACTTTACGGCTTTGGGAAAGTAAGAGAAACTATAACGCCAGATCAAGGACCAATAATTTTGGCGATTTTCTTGATTTTATCAAAGATTCTAGATATATATTTATATCCGGAATATAAATATGTGGTAGCAATATTTTAATCAGGGGCGAATGCGATAATCATATATATATATATATATATATATATATATATATATATATATATATATTAGTGGAAAATATACATACATATATAAAATATATATCTAAAAAATTTAATACATGTATATTTTCAGAAAAAAATTTTCCAAGAGGAAGGATCCAGGTAGAACTTTTAATGTCTGAGACAGAGTAATTTTTTTTAAGTTTTTGGAAACCATGGAATATTAGTGTTTAAGCATTTTATTTTATATATATATATATATATATATATATATATATATATATATATATATATATATATAATTTTTCATTAATGCATGTTTCATTAAATAATATAGACAAGTTTTGTCTATTTATTTTAAGTAAGTTCCTTTTATATTGTCTGATAAAATTAATAACATTATTATTGAAAATACGAAAGGAAATCACCATATTGATATATGTTTAAATCCAATCTAAGCTTTCGGCTTACATAAATTATATCAAAGATGACAATTACTTTTCATATATCAACCAATACACGGACGAAAAACAATAATGATAGTCTGTTTCAATGAAAATGTGCAGGTAATCGATCCATTGTTATATAATCCGGTGGATCCTAGTACTATTAATTATTAAAACTGATCCACAGAGATTGGCTGTTTTATTTTAACAGACGGTTTGTATTTTTACAGCAAAAAAAAAAAAAATAATTACCTCAACGTCTGTCTGTCTGTCTGTCTGTCTGTCTGTCTTATATTTCGTCTCTCTCTCTCTTTTCTCTCTCTATATATATATATATATATATATATATATATATATATATATATAGTCAATTCGATAAATATATTTCGGAATATCACAGCTCATCAGTTTGATTAACATCCGACTGTTCAATTTGTAGGAATGTCGAAACCCGACCGAGTTGTTATTAAATCAGAGATTCTACCCACAAAATAGAGCGGAAGGGGAAATTTTAACGTTTTTTTTTATGCGAAACACTTCAGTAGTTAGAAGAAAACCCGTGTAGAAGAGCATTGCATTAGCAGCAGCAGCCACTGTTTATAAAATCACCTTTTCCTCTCAGTGAGCACAATATATATATATATATATATATATATATATATATATGTGTGTGTGTGTGTGTTTGCGTTTCCGTGTGTTGTTATGCATACGTGATTTAGGTGTAAGTATGTATGCGTAGCATTATTACACAGTAGTTTTCCTTATAAACAAATGTAGCTATTAGGTTGTTGGGTAAATAAAGTCTGATTTTAGAATAAAACTTTTAATCATAACTTCAAACAGCGACCTAATAATTATATTTGTTTATATAAAAAAAAAAAACTTCTAATTATGCTAAGCATACACACACACACACACATAGGTTTAAAGTTGGATATGAAATTAAAAAAGATGACAGTTTATCATTAGGAATGAGTAATATATTTTTGTGGATTATATGTACCTAAAGTTGAACATGAAAATTTAACAAGAAATATGAGAAAACTAAACGTAAAACGAAAGGGGAGAACACTGGCAATGGCCGGGCGATAAATGGAGAGAAAAATGGAGTTCCTATAGAAGCGGCTAACATAATTCTATAAGAATGGATAAACTGGACAAAAGAAGTTGATTGTATTAATAAAAGTCTGCAAGGAATTGGTTCCAACCATTATCCGTTATCCTTGTGAACAGTTATAATAGGTTTACGCAAAACCCAGAATGGTTTAGTAAGGAAGAGAAACTGCCAGAAGTGCTTTCTATATAAGAATGAAATGTCCTGGCTGATTACATACATTATATAGAGTGAGAAGACCTGAACAGGCAAGATAGATAGATAGATAGATAGATAGATAGATAGATTATGTGTGTGTGTACGAGAGAAAGAGAAATAGAGAGATGTAATAATTAAATAGATAGATAGATAGATAGATAGATAGATAGATAGATAGATAGATAGATAGAAAAGCACGTCGCTTAAAAGTGAGAGAGGAGTAAGACAAGAGGAAGAGAAAGGAGAGTGAATGAGATATAGGCATGTATAGGCTGCAATAGATAGAGCGACCGATAGATAGATAGATAGATAGATAGATATAGTGAGTGAGTGTGTGAGTGAGTGAAAGAATAACTATTTGCAGACTACGACAAATAAAATTATAGATATGTATTACTGAATAAAGTAGAAATAAATAGATATGAAAAAAAAAACTGCGATAGATCGACAGATAAAGTCAGGGGTATATATATATATATATATATATATATCGATAGATAGATAGATAGATAGATAGATTTCAATCTATCCTAATCATTTCCTGTATTTCGCATTCTATATATATATATATATATACATATATGAATAGAATGTGAAATACAGGAAAAGATTAGGATAGATTGAAAAAATAGAGAAATTGAGTAATAGATATTTACAGATAGCAATGCATAGGGAAAGACCGTGATAGATAGATAGATAGATAGATAGATAGATAGATAGATAGATAGATAGATGCTTCTATGGATACAGAGAGGGATGAAATATCGAGGTGAAAGAGAAAATAAGCAAGATATGGCAAACTGATACATATATGTATGTATCTATCTATCTATCTATCTATCTATATAGATAGATAGATAGATAGATAGATAGATAGATAGATAGATAAGTCATCTCTTTTTCGTTCATAAATATAGGATTTAGCTGTTTGTCGTTAACAAAGTGCGTCGACGAATGGATAGATAGAGATGAATGTTTTCCTTATTTATTCGATAAAGAACCAACCTCCTTTCGCTCCTTCTTCCCTTACGTCTCTAATCACATGTCAACTTCCCTACCTACCTGTCCCTGTGAAGACTTGGTCTTCATTCGGCGATATGGACTCAAGTACATTTCGAGAAAAAGCGTAGTCAGATTTGAGGAACTCAGGATTAAGCAAATCTCCTTGACAACGCTGTAGAGTAATGTTGACCTCTTCCACTTCGCGTGCATTGACCTTTTGTTTGGGCGCGTTCTCTGCTAACTCTTGCCAAATGACGATCTCAGTGACCTTGAACGAATCAACAAATGAATGCTAGAATGTCGCTACTTGTCAACGCATGACGGATGTAAGTCACATCAACACACACACTACACACTCATATCTATCTATCTATCTATCTATATATATATATATATATATATATATATATATATATATATATATATATATATATATATTGTGTATTCTAAGAAATCCCTCTTTATACAAGTTTCGTTAAAGAAGACTGAAAAGCTACCACGATTAAGCATTTTATTTCATTTTTCTTGTCACCTTACAACTAAACAAGTTTTTAATTTCTGGATACAAAGTGTGTAAAAAATCAGTCGAAACAGAAAGTGTGTAAAATAACTCTGTAGAGATACGATCATTATCTGTCTATATTTCTGAGATGAGGTATTATGTACATTATTTACATTACTCGGACTATTGTCCTCATCTTTGTCGCCATATTTATTACAACGTTTCGGCCGTTGTACGCTCCGGCCTTCTTCAGGTGGTTGGAATGTCAAACTGAACAATTTCGCTCACTGGGGTAGACTCTTCTAGTTTCACGGGCTATGTCTAATGGATGTCAGTTATCAGCTATCTCCTGTTAATTTCCCTCTGAAAGTTCTCCACTGTTAACCGGGCATTGAACTCACACTCTTTGGTCCTGTCACTGGATCTAACCATCGCCTTTATCCACTGTGCCATGTGTCCTATATATATATAGGAGGCACGGTGGAGTAATCGGAGAGCCGAGTTCGAATTTCAGTCGAATCCAATTACATTCATTTACGTGCTAATACCCCTGGGAAAGGTGTGAATATTCTTCTTCTCCTTCCAGGTATGGGTAAATACCAGGACAGACTGGGCTCTATAGCCTTGGATGGTAACTGGTCTAGGAGTAGGACAACTCTGCGGAGGGTCGTTTGCAAGTAGTAAATTTAATCTCTGTTTTCGGCCCTTCAAAAAGTGTGGCTGGTTCTGCACAAAACCTTCACCACTATAATCAAATCTCATGTGCTGTTGTCAGGTTGATCTGCTTGAACCTCATAAGTCGAATTTCGACCGAGAGTCGAATATATATATATATATATATATATATATAAGTAAAAATATATATATATATATATATATATATATATATATATATATATATATATATTAGAGATAAGTTATTTTAAGAAAATTCGATATATATATATATATATATATATATATATTTATTCTCTATATATATATATATATATATATATATATATATATATATATATATATATATATATATATATATATATATATATATATGTGTGTGTGTGTGTGTGTGTAAAAATACCTAGAATTGAAATTAGTTGACTCATACTTGCGCCAGAAATAAACAAATCGTTTCAAATAACCAGATCCGCCGGGAGGATTATCTTTTTCGGAGAAAAAATCTACCTGAGATATATTTATTACAACCAAATGTTTTATTAAATTTTCAGGACTTTTACTCCTCGTTATATTAGTAATTTACGATGCGAATATTCTATGACAAAGCATTTTCATTATTGAAAAAAAAGTTCCGACACTCCTTTTATCCCAACCTGTTCCGCCTATATGAAACTAATAAACTAAAGTATATACACCCTCACACACACACACACACACACACATACATATATATATATATATATATATATATATATATATATATATATATATCACGCATGGAAATCTCTCAACTATAAATAGGAGCAGGTACTGCCTTCTGGTGAGGAAAGTCTCTAGCAGTCAGCTCTTTCGGACCGAACATTCTTGCTGAAACACTCTCGTTTGTATATGCTTTTATTATTACTGTTTCTGTTAATATATCAGTTTAACTCAATTCCTCTCTTGTGTCTTTTATTTCTGGCCCTAACATGGCACATCAATATATATATATATATATATATATATATATATATATATATATATATATATGAAAAAATATACTTATAAGGTGTGCTATATTTATGGGATAAAAGTACTGCCATTATAGATAGAATATCGTGTATAAATATAAAAGTGAACATTGAAGTAAACACTCAGATACATACACACACACACACACACACACACACACACACACACACACACATATATATATATATATATATATATATATATATATATATATTATTTGTTTCCCACATTTAATGGTGTCCTGGATGCTTAGGTCTCTTCTATCGGCCTTAGTAGTAATATAGGAAATGTGCGCCTTTGACAATTTGGGCACACCGACTCAAACACATATACATATGATGATGATGATCCACCGCATTTATACAAATGATGGCTGCCTAATCACGTTCACTCCCCACCTTGCAACTCTTTCGTGTATGACCCCGTCGGCTGCGAACTTGCATGACTTTTTACGCAAGTGACAGACGAACAATATGCTTGCCAACACCTTGATAGGTTCACACTGATTTGCCTGTTTTCCAGTGCACCACAAGGTGCCTTTTCAGTCCGGAGCTGGTTGTGCATACCTTCTAACACAGCATGCAGTCTTTGACACTCTGTGTCCGAGGAATACAAGATTAAAGTTTTAGCTCTCTCTCTCTCTCTCTCTCTCTCTCTCTCTCTCTCTCTCTCTCTACATTCGCTTGAGGATGAAATAGAGCTTCATATTTTAATTCAATTTAATTTTCATAATGATATTGAAGATTTTGGCTCTTGTTTTTGACACATGAAAACTCTTATGTAGCGAAGGAATCATATTTTTAAAAAATAATTATAATTTATCCTTTACTTATATATTGAGCACTGCTTCTTTTAAAAATAAAAATACTAAAGAACTTCCGATTATTTACCTAATGTGTTTTTTTTCTTACTTTTCTATATATTTGCACACACACACACAACAATATATATATATATATATATATATATATATATATATATATATATATATATATATATATATAGGTATAGGTAGTAATCTGTTGGTATAATCCAGGCTTGTCCTATTAATACAATATAGAAATTTGAAATTTATTAAAACTGATTTTTAAAAAAGAGTGCTCAATGTTTATTTTCATTAAACAGAAAATTTTTCTTTATAACTGGAATTAAGAAACCTTTAGCTAATAACAATTTTCACCTACCCAGGCTCTCTTATCTTCATAATATAATTCAAATAAAGGTGCCTTCTTCTCTCTATATCTATCTCTAAGCCCCCTGTTACGTCCTCTCAAAAAGAGAATCCAAATTAACCAGTATCTCAAACTACAAACTGATACCATAAACATTTTTTCAATATTTTGCAAATTTTAAAATTAAAAATTCATAGGTGAAAATATCATTAATCAAGATATCTTAATTCCAACTATTAACGAATACATATATATATATATATATATATATATATATATATATATATATATTCCGGTGTCTGTTTTTTAATTTTAATTTTAGGTCGGCGAATCGGTAGTGATTTATGCATGTGAAAATAATTCATATTTATCTGTATCTCACTCACTGCTGGCGTTATTTAAAATCTCTTTAAAACTTCTCTCTATTAAATTTTAATCCCCACCTTCACCTTTAGGCCATCCTGTTCTTCTTTCTTCTGCTACACCCTCTCTCTAGAGCTTTCATACATTTCCCTCTCACACTTGTTTCCCACTCCCGCACATACTCTCTCAATAAAATTTTGTTTTTTATACCTGGAGATATATTTTCACATTTCTTTTTGAATTTGTAGGCCTGATGATTTGGATTCCAATGTAATAAATTATAACCATGGAATATTAGTGTTTGAGCCTTTATATTATATTCTTACTCTGTCCTGGACATTTATATATATTTATATATATATATAAAAGAAATGATACTAGAAAAATCTTTTATGTCAACACGCTTCGTTCACTGAGGAACTTTATCAAAGTAACTGTAGAAATTACATTTAGGAATCTTTATAAATTGTATACGCATAGATCTTAACCTTTAGTATCTTTTTCCTTGTGTGCTTCCTGTTTTAACTCCCCCTCGATGGCTGCTTGCGGGTGTCAGTTTAAATCCCTTTCGATGGGCCTCCAAAGACATGCAAATCTCTTTGTTAAATTATTTGATTGGCCGAAATTCTTATTCGCTTATTCTATTTTATTTTATATAACGGAAATTATGCATGGATCTTAATTTGTTTTTCGTGGGTTTGTGCGACATATTGCGTAGTCTCTGGACCGTCAACATCCGGTGTCTTTCCGTCGAGGTCAGTCTTTTCGTCTTCCTCTATTTCATTTAAGAGAGAAATAGTGTGTGCGAGAGAGAGAGAGAGAGAGAGAGAGAGAGAGAGAGAAAGAGAGTGAAATATAGAAAAAGAGGTACGGAATTTAAGGGAAAGCAAATGTTTTGTTTTAATTTGAATTCTTTTTTATTTGTTTTTACATTGTTAATTTTATTTTAATTTATTGGCCTAACCAGAGTTCCAAATTAAAATGAAAACGCAGCCAGATTATAAAGGAAAATTGCCTTCACCGTACACCTTTAAAGAATTCTTTCATCGGGATTTTATGAAAGTTATATTCCTCTCCGCTTTGA